ATTATGCTAATTAAAAATAACAGAACTTTTAAAGAGCTTGTCATGCAAATGACTTAAGCAAAAATGACTATTGAATTAAAATCCCACTCAGTACCAAACCCCAAAGTGAATCTGTTTTATACAAAGTGCTTAAGTGAAAACAAAGTTAGAATCTCCATGGAAACAGAAGGGAACTCTTGAAGGAGAGGCGAGGACAAAAGTAAGCATGAAAAAGCATTTATTTATTTAATTTTTGTTTGTCTTCACCTCTGCCCTGCTGGAACCTTGGGCTGTCATCTTAATGAAAGCTTTTAAGACTCCAAAGGAATTAGGAACATTTGACAGGAGCAAGGAAGGGACTAAATATAGAACCTCTGTGAGAGAAATGTATTCTTAATCTTCACGTCTACTCCCCCTTCCCCTAGATGGTAAACTCTCTCTCTTTTACCATTACTTTTGAGTTGCTGCTATTGTACAATTTGGCTATTTGATGACTTGGTTATTATTAGATTGGCATGAAATGAAGAAAACATCATGAGACACAATTTTTGTCTTCTTTAGAAATGACATTTAATGAGATGATTGAAGCCAGTTACCAAATTAATATTTTAACTTTGCCTCATTAGGGCTGGGAGTGTGGCTCTCAGTTGGCACAGCACTTGCCTAGCACGCAAAAGCCCGGGTTCCATCTCCAATACGTTCCAGAACCAGACATGGTGGACACACAACTGAAACCCCAACTCTCAGGAGGTGGAGGCAGGGGGATCAACAGTTTGTGACCATCGTTGACTACATAGTGAGTTCATAGCCAGTCCGAGCTACGTAAGACCCTGCCTCAAAAAACCAACAAAACACAAAACAAAACAAATCCCAAACTACATTGTCTCAGTCTAATTTTCACTTGCCCACTACTTGAAGAAAATTCCAAAATGCTTTCCTGTCAGCTAGCCCACACATTAGTGCATTTTCTTTTGCCAGCTTGTGTATGCTATAAAGAAATGAGGCTTGTATTGGCTCATGGTTCTGGCCTAACCCGGAGGGTCCCAAATGGCGATGGCTCTCTTGGGGGCAGCCTTCAGACAATGTAGAGCAATCATGTGGTCAGAGAAAGGGAGTCACGAAAGACTTAAGCAAAGTGGCTTCTGTAGCAGATCCACTTGGAGATAAACCCTCAACCCAGCAATCCACAAATCCACAAGAATGGATGATTCTATTGGTGAACACAGAGCTCTATCCTCTTGACAATCACATCTGGATTCACCTCCGAACATCTCACAAAGAGAATTAACTCTCATCATGAGATGTAGAAGAGACAGGCCATAGCCTTCATCATTTAATCAGCATGGTATGAGAGGTAGAGCGGCTATGGTAGGTAACCCTCCACTGCTAAGCAGAGAAACTCAATCTGCTAAATAGAGGGCTCATTCTACACCATGGATCTCAGACTCGTTGTCCTCTCAAATACCAGTGGCCTGGCAGACCAGTGTAGATGCTGCATTATGGTATCTCTCTCTTTTTTTTTTCACTTCTTTTATGGTATTTTTTTCACTTCTTTTAAGAAATGAACGCATTAACATTACAAAGTGTCAATCTTTCTATTACTCTATATCAGGAAATATTCTAAGGAAATGTACAGGCTAGCCAGAATCAGTGGACTTTTGGCTTTCCTGAGCTGGCTATTTTTAATATGCTTTCCTTCCCTGGAACTGTCTGACCCATTTTTAATCAATAAATCAAACATTACTTCAAGCTCAGCAATAGATGACTTGTTGAGGACCAAGTAAGTGACCTTTCCTAAATCTGAAAAATTAAAAAGGCCACTAGTGCACTTAGCAGCTCAGAAATGAGTCTGCTGATTGTTGATAGTGCCCCAAGGTACATTTCCACCTCCCACTGGGAAGAAACTGTTGGCTGTGTTTCTTCTAAATGAAAGGCAATTGAAGTCTGAACCTGCAACGATTCCAAATGGGAGTATAGTTAGAAAGCACGGTGGCTTGTTTCTATACCTTTCTGTTGCCTCTAACTACTGAAAACTAATAGAGTTCAAGATACACCATGGATCTGGGAGACATGAGTGTAAAAGAATTCACAAACTATGCACAGTAAAATGAAAGTAACACATACTCTTGAAGATAATCAATGAAGTCACTCCCTTGACATTTTAACATACGTTGTTCACTTGTCTTACTGCTGCATACCCTATTGGTTACTACTGCATTGTTATTAAAAAATAACATTGTTATTAAAAAAAATCCCCACTGGGGACTTTCCATTTGGTTAGTCATCACTATAGGGCATGACAGCTCTTGATTAATTTACTCCTTCCACCTCTGGCTTTGCATCGAGGTGCTGCTATACGACACTTTCATGACTATTCGAGGCTGGCACTTTTGTTCCAAGCATCGATATAAGAAGTCTGAAAACATCACCAAAAAGGGGCTTAGTAAAAGTAATTTGGGACCTGGTAGTCTAGGCCTGTAGGGAGGCTAAGGTGGGAGATCTCAAGTTAAAGCTATTCTAGAGAGTGAGTGCAAGGCTAGCAGGGCCATTTGGTGAGACCTTGTCTGGAAAGTAGAAGCTGGGACTGGGGACGGAGCTTGGTTGGATTCAAACCCCAGGACCACATACATGAACCGTGGTGGTGCACACATGTAATTCCAACACTCAGGAGTTGAAGACAGATCAGAAGTTCAAGATCATTTTCTTTTACATAACGAGTTCGAGGTCAGCCTGGTATACATGAGATTCTGTCAAAAGTCACAAAAGGGGATGGGAATGTAGTTCAGTGGTAGAGCACTTGCTAGGCAATGTGAAGCCCCAGGTTCAATTTTAGCACCCCAAACAAATAAACAAGAGCATTTGGATTCATTGGCATTTTATGACAATGTGGACACAAGCTCCGACCCTTAGTTTACGTGAACCCAGCACTGTCCTGAATCAGGTTGGGAAGGGTAACATCCCACTTCTTCCTTCCCGGCCACCCCCAGTTTCCAGTGATATGACTGGTCCATTGGGATTCAGTTTAGGGGGGTGGCCTATTTGTTATGCATAAGGTGGGCAGTTAGTGGAATATAATTTAAAGGGCTAAAGATAGGACCTCTAGGAGACTTGAATGTTCACTGTAAGTTTTCCACAAGGCATGATTAATCAAACTAGTTTTTATTTATTTATTTATTTATTTTTTTAAAGAGCCAAGAACTGGGAATATAGTTCAGTTGGTAGAGTGCTTGCCCCAAGTTTGAGAAGCCCTAAGCATGTTGGTCCATGCCTGCATTGCCAGCACTCAGGAGTAGGAGGATCAAACCTCAAGTTATCCTTGGCTGCATCAAGAGTTCATAGTCAACCTCTCTCAAAATGAGAAAGTTGATTATAAAGAGAACCGTTCCTTTTTTCCTGCAAGACTAGAAATAACCAATGCAACAGCAGTTTTTAAAAATTATATTTAATACAAGTGAATAGATTAGAAGATCTGAAATGTTATAAAGCGATATACACAACAAATAAATAATTTGCACAGGAGAGCCACGTCTCCATTGCATACCACTGCCTGGTACGGGAATACTTAAATCCAGTGACAATGGAGAAAGTCCATAAAAACGCTAACCTGTTGTCCCTTGTATGAAGTTCTTCAAGTATAAAAGTCCAATACAGTGTAAAATAGTATTCAATTTAGTTTAAGAGTAAAAATTGCCAAGTATCGCACTTTCAGAAGGAAAATATAGAGCAGTACTTTAAACCTACATACATTACACAGGGGAAGGGGGGGGAGTCCTAAGTTCCTGATAGATGAGACCTACAGGGGTAAAACAACCCAGAGAAGGAAGCACAGAACCAGCAACGTAGCTTGTTTTTTTTTTTTTTTTTTAAAAAAAAAAAAAATCTCAAGACTAAAATAGACTCAAATGTGTTCAGGTAAGAGTACCCTCTCGAACAGTGCACATATGAATTTAAATAAATCCAAGCCAACGTCTTTAGTTGAATAGGTTAATATTTAATATGCTACATCTAGACCTACTAAATAACTTATGCCATGAGATGAATACATAATTTTACAGTGTCACGTCTAAAGTTCCTTCCTTTAGAGTGCGGCATAGTAAAACTTAAAAATAAATATCTTAAATAAGATTATTATTAAGGCACATTAGAAAGTACACGACCATCAACCATCACAGAATTGTAATGCCAAGAACCTCGCTGTCTTAGGTACTGCAGTCACTAATAAATAGTTTTAAATAGGACTCTGAAATAGTTACTAGAAAGTGTAAAATTATTTGAAACAGGGGAAGAAAATAAAGGCCCTCCAGATAGTCCTGAAGGGTTGAGCGTCTGCAAACCTTGCCTGCCTTTACCCATAATCCCCAGTCCCTTCAATAAATAGAAAAGTGGAGGCTGTGAAAGCCTGACCAGCAGATGCAAGTTTCCCCAAGTGAAACAGGGTGGGGAGAGGGATTAGTATGTGACAAGCTCCTTCAGCAAGCACAAGTGATGGACCCCTTCTAGAACTGTGTGCCATTGATTGTCTGAGCGGCTGGTGCAGTATCAATTGCTCCACAATCCCATGAGTCCACAGGACAGATGAGAAAACAGCTTTGGTACCTGCCTACCACTGTACCTGCCACTATACTGATTGTTCGATGCCCATTTCTGAGATAGCGCAAACGCTCCTCTCTGCCTCAATAAAGTTCTGCAGGCTGCTGTGACTGCAACGAAGGGCAACCAGCGCTTTTGCCATCGTGAGTTTTTTTTTTTTTTTTTTTAATCTACTTTTACACATAACGCAAGCTACATATTGCTCACTCCATATTCCCTGGTTCAACTAGATTCACATAGCATTTTCTAACTTGGAAAAGGCAGTTTGCTTCCCTGATACTATAAAAAGAGCAAAAAATAAAAATCCCAATACAAAAGTGAAGTCCCATTGATAACCCTGCCATCAGGTCCTAGTGGCTATTCTGTGTAACTCAGGCTCTTTGGGATTGACTTCAAAAACTGCTTGTCGCCCCCCCACCCACCCACCCCACTCTCCCCTCTTCATCCGCAGCACAACCCGGAGTATGAAAAAAGTAATGCCTCTGCTTTCCCAATAACTTTGCTTTCTCCCTTTAAAGCTATTAAGTCAACATCGTTCTCGTCAGCTACCCAACACTGGGAAATTGGGAGGGAAAGAGAAACCCTTGACTTTGATCAGAAGGTGGGTCTACTGCATTCTGTCTGTCTGCAGCTGTTGAGGCTGGTACTGGCCAAAGGCTGCTGCGGCTGCAGCAGCTGCAGCTGCAGCTGCAGCTGTCCCAGGTGCAGCAGCAGTGATTGGCTGCTGGACAGCATAGCTGTAGCCCCCAGTGGTCACATAGCCTGCAGCAGCTGGGGATGCTGCGTAGGGGTACTGGTCATAGGCGGCAGCGGCTGCGGCTGCAGCTGCTGCAGCCGAATATTGTGCATAGGCAGCTCCAGTGTAATCAATGTACGGCGTGGTGGAAGCCGCAGCTGCTGTGGGCTGGACATGGGGAATAACCACTCCAGGCTGCACAAAGGCCTGCGGGTAGACGTAGTGAGCAGGGATCCTGTTAAGAAACAAAAAGTAAAGTCAGGCAACAGTGGAGCTCTAGTGGAACCCTTTGCTCAGAGATGGAGACAAACTCAAATTTAGTGGTTGCTATCAACATAGGGTTGCCATAATATCTACTTTTTAGTGGTCCATTTGATGCACCCTTGAGAGAATTCATCAACAAAAACAGAATGACATTCTCCTTGCTAGAATTTTCACTTAATGACTTTGAACCATGCAGTATCATGCATGCCAAGTTTGGGGAATAAATCTTGATTTGCCAAAGCTGTGCATGGAAGAGATACTTCACAGGGGCTTCAAGAGGGCTTCTAAAAAGAAATTGGTCAAGTTCATGTAAGAAAGACATGGCTAACAGACAGGAAAACCCGTGCTGTGAGCACAGGACTCAGAAGGTTGTCTGACATTACATGGTTCTGTGAGAGAGATGGCCTGGCTGTTCATGGGGAAATAGACTGCGACTCTTCTTATCATGGCAACCCTATTTGAAATCGCTAGGCAGACTCAGCACACATTAATCTCTCGGCAACCTCAGTCACCCTGATTAAAAACCGTAATTACAAAGGAAGCAGGCGACAAAATAAAATAAAAAAATGAAAAGCCCCAAACCAGGAGTTTAAAAGTTCACAAGTGTGGAAACACAGCAGTCACACTCCTCAAACGGCCGTAGGTGCAGCTGTTGTGGGAAGCTACCAAAATGCTATCAACAGTCCCGGCAGTGACTCCCAAAGAGGTGTGCAGCACGCTTTCACTCTCTCGTTTACTTTATTGTTTTTCCCATAAGGACAGAACAATCAATCAAACCTGTGCGACTGTCAGGCAACTGAGGCTCAGCCAGTTTGCTTGTCTCTATGCAAGACAGACAGAAAGGGGTTGGGGGTGATGAGGTTGGTGGAGCAGTTAGGGACAGGAAAACACAACCAAATGTCTCTGCACGTAACAGAGACTTAGAAGATATACACTGTAAGGCGACACTTACTCTGCATGCCCACTAACTCTTACGTTAGCCTCCCAGTCAGGAGAAATTGATGTATTAGCTTATCTGCTTTCAATCTGCTCAGTTGGTTAACATTACAGTTCAGTTGTATGGTTACAGGCCACCCTGTAAACAGCCAAGAACACGAAACGAAAATAAAGTATCGTCTGAAAGAGGCTACATTCTCGGCTCAGGTGCAGGACAGACCTGAGGACTTCACTTAAGAGTTGATCAAAAAAAAAAAAAAAAAAATCACAAGAGGTTTGTTTTCAAGATCCCGTGCATTGAAGCTGCCACTCTTGCAATTCGTTGCGGCCGTTTTGTGAAGTGGTACCTCAAATATCTGGCTTATTTTTGCCTTTCTTTAAATGAATCTCCCTCACAACCCCCTTATCTTTCTAAAAATAGAACGCAGGCATGCTATCTGGCTGTCAACAAAACCAACTTATTAGTAGCACAAGCACAAATAACCATCTTCAAATTCTAAAGAACTCGACACAAAACAGCATGTTTAAGCTTTTTCAAAATCAGTTTTTTTTTTTTTTTTTTGCTTTGTCTCTTCAGAATTCTACTGGAAGCGCCCGTTAAGAACATCCATGGAAAAGATGAATTTATCAGAGAGGGTGGTGAACTCTGTCTCCCCGAGATAAAAATACATTCAGTTTTACTAGAATCATAGCTCTTTCCCAGTGCCAGCAGAAACCATGTCACCAAGTGTTTCTGAGGACACTTGGAGATGTTCTTAACTGCATGTCAGACACCAGGCACGTGGTCATGCACACACTGTGAACTCTGTGGAAGCTCAGGAGACTGGCTCACCCTTGGTGACAGGTGTGGCTGTATATAACACTGTCCCCAGCGCTGATATGTCCACAATGTGCAGACACAGCTAACAGAACCCCCTCCTCCTGCCAGTTTACATGTGGTGACGGACAGCAGAGGCTGCAGCAGGCTATTTTTGATCCTGTCATGCGACAAGGGTTTCCAGCGGATAAAATGTCTTTATAAGGCCAAAGTGAAACATCTATCAGCTCCAAAGGCCAGCCAGTCTGAACCTCACTGATAGGGAGACATTAACCCTTGGTTTCTCCCAATATTCTGAGGATAGTGCAATGGTTGGTAGGTTTGTAACTTCAAATAGCAGAGTAGTTCAGAAGAAAAGGGCAGGCTAAATATGTGTAGGAAGAATGTGTTAAGACATACAAAGGATGGCTTCGAGAGTTACTGTCTCTGTATTTATGTTAGTGACTGCTTCTGATTGGATGAAGCCACCATAAGTCATTTTTTTTTCCCTAGAAGATCAGATCCTTCCATGAAGGCTGGCAAGGGTGAGGAAGACATTCAAAGGGCAAATGAAGACCTGAGGCCTTCAAAGGATGACGGAGAAAGAAGCCCAGAGACTAGGGTCTCAGTTCACGGAGAAGGCAGCAGAGGGCTGGCTGAATGGTGTGCTGGAGGTTCTTTTAGTACTCTAAGGAACTCTGTAAGGCAAATTGGGAATGGTCCTCCTACTAGAAAGCTACCAACAACCAGTCCTTTACTTCACTATGGAATGCTCACACCAAGCAGCTACAAACCCAAGACCCAAGTGGATACCTTGGGTGATTTTAAAAAAGCAAGCAAACAAACAAAAAAAACCCAAAACTACATTTTCCTTTGATCTCCATCTCTTTAGACAAGGTCCCTCTACATAGCACAGGCTGACTTCAAACTTACAATCATCCTGCCTCAACCTCTAGAGTTCTGTTATTTATTCCAGGCATATGCCGCCATGCCAGGCTAGTCTCTGGGACTTTCAAAGTAATAGCAAACTCAGCTCTTCCAGGCTACTGTGCAGACTGGTGACCAAGCCTTCATCTCATACATTCATTCATCAGAGTCACCACCTCCCAAATCTCATCACTTTGGGGCTTTTGTGCATCTGTCTCCAAAACACCTTCCCAGTATTTCTTTTTACTTTCCTTTGGAACCAGATCAGAAGGGCATCTTACTGTTTCCTGGTGCCACAGATCACAGGATCCCTCTTTAGCACATGCCATCCATTCTCCATCCAGGATTACAACCCTCCCCCAGTCTCTGCCTCCCCCATCCGCCCTAGCTCTAGCCCTCAGCGCACAAGAACCTTTGGAAGTCCACGTTCCCTCTTTATCTCACACTGTTCCTATGTGAAAGAGATTGTTTTCCAGCCCAGAGTAGCTGTACATGAAATGAAGTTCTCTGTGGGAGGGGCCCTCCAGTGGTTAGTACAGGAGATGCTTGATCAAATAGTTCCCCATCTTCCCTCTCCTTCCAAGACCTAGCTAATCTTCTTCATGAAGACTCCCTGAGACCCACTGATGTGCTGTCTCGCTCCTGTCCGAGGCCCTTCCCAGCATTTATGTCTTTTCTGGCTGTAGCTTAACATCAATGGGCACAGCTTCCAAGATTAGGTAGACCATGACTGAACTTAGAATAACACTCTAACATACTCACTGGTTCTGTGTGTGTGTGAGTATGTGTGTGTGTGAGTGAGTGTGTGTGTGAGTGTGCATGAGTGAGTGAGTGTGTATGAGTGTGTGTGTGTGAGTGTATGTGTGTGAGTGTGTGTGTGTATACCGGGTCACCTCTTCTTGCCTATACCTAAGCACTGAAAGTGTGCTCAGTGAAAGCTTCTGTATGTGATTAACTTGGTGTAAACTACGCCTTAAGTCTCCTCTCACAAACCTGCAGTATTTCCTTTCCAAAGTTGTGATGAGAAAACACCTCTCTCCAACATAGACCATTTAGAAGCTGGTGCTCATCGAGGCCACAAGTTCCCCCATATCTGCCCTCTGTGCTAAATCAGAAGTTCTTTCAGCCAATATTTTTGTCTTAAAAGACCTTAGGTAACCCAGGGGCCATTTAAGGACCACAGAAAACTAATAGTCTCCTCACTAGCCTTTCAAACAAGTAAAAAAGAATTCTCAAGCTTGCTTTCAGGCAGGCCAAAGATAAGAATGTGACATTCAAATGGCGTTTAGGGTGACCAGATGTGATTTGCTGGTAACAGACTTGGTATCAGGGCAGTGCTAAGAACCACTCAAAAAAGAAAGGGAACCCTTACTTGGTCTACCTGGAATGCTATCTGCTTCTAATCTCAAGTTCAACTTACATCTCAAGTTCAAACAATTTATGCACACTGTAACAATCACCATTCTTCATAATGACAGTTACTATCAGAAGAGATGAAAAACAAAAGGTTACTATCAAAACACACTTGATTTAAGATTTCCACGTAATACATACCACCCTGGTGGCTCTCCTCTTCTATGAGTTACTTTCTTTCTCAAGGATCTAGAAGGACTACCACAGCCAGACCAGATTTACTCAGCCAGCCCTCTGGTACACTGTAGTCTCTCCACACACTGAGCCTCTCTCCTGGGCCCCCTTGCTAGTTCATCCCATCAGAACTTTCAGACACACCCAGTGCCCTCATCTAGTTCAAGCCCCTTCCTCACAGCTTGTCCAAGTCTCCCAATCCATGGGTTTTCTTGTGAGTCCGAATCCTCTTAAAAGTGAGTCAATAATTCTTGGCTGTCTGCTATCTTCTTGCTCCCCACAACTGAAAGTACAGCTTCTTTTTACAAAGTGATGAGCACATAACAACAGCTGTTAACTGATTTGGCTTTACGCTCTTTCACAATGATTCCTGGGAGGTCAGGACTAAGTTCACTATGACACGTTCAGGTATATAGGGGTATGTTTTCTTGCATAGTCCCACCTTGACTGATAGTCCACACCAATGAAATATCAACAGAGGGAGAAGGAAGGGAGGGGAGGAGGAAGGAGGGAGAATGCATACTGCAACTAACTCATTCATTACTTCTTGTCCATATCCAAGTTGGCTTGGAAGGGGCTTTGATACATAGCTATACTTGATTATAGCTTTTTAAAAGAAAAGTTGTAGATGTCCCCAAGAGAGTGAATTATTAATAGATTAGAGGACCTCAGGAGCTGGCAATAACAACCCAGAGACAACCCAGATAAGAGCAGGCTGTTCACCTGGGAGGTCTGAAAGGTGGGAGTTAGTAAGGTGCTACTCAAAACAAAACCAAACAAAGTTAAGTGGAGGGGGGGGGGAGGCCAAACGGGTGAGTGTTAATGAAATCTGACTAGAGCCCGCTGAACCTCTATCAGAAAACCTGGAAGTGGGCATACAGTGCAAAAAGAAAGCCCGCCCCCAGAAAACAGAGACTTACAACATGCAAGCAGTGAATCTGGATTCTTATATATAGAGAGAAAATTAAAAAAAAAAAAAATCACACGATTTAGCACTCACTACAAAAATGTTAAACGGAAGTCACAGGCTAATAGCTTAAAAGCAGGAGGGGGAACAAAAAAGGCCCTTTGCTTCCCATGGCAAAGTCAAAAGTCAACACTACTCACCACCACCACCACCAAAAACAAACGGCAAAGAGCCCCCTTCCCCAAAGAAAAGAAAACACTCACTACAGCTCTGTTCAATTAAGTCAAAGCACACAGTTTAGCTATCAACACCACTTCATTATTGTAATCAATGAAATAAAACACACGGAGGGCTATGGACTATAGTGAAAAAATAAAAACAACACCACCAACATCCATGCACGGTTAATCACCATCTGAGCTTGTGTGTCTGAGTCTACTGGTTACAGAGTTTAATTCCAAAGAGAACTAGTCCACCTCTTATCATGGCATCCTTCTCATCAGTTAGCTTAACTGTATACGAGCCCTGTCAGGTTAGAAAGAGATAAATAACATTGAGTCAAGCTGAACAGCAGGAATGGTGATGGGACACATGTCTTGTGCACAAGTCATACCTGGCATATTTTTGTTTGGTTTGGTTTGGTTAAGCATAAGCTCAACATTTGGCTGGTTTGGAGACTGCATACTTGGTCAGATAACTTGACTCATCTAAAAATATTTATAGTATCAGCATTAAAAAGAAAACACACATAAGCATATATAAATATGTGTACCCCAGAACATCCTGTGACTTGTCAATCTTGTCTGTTCATAACAAAGAGACACAGAAACAAATGGTGGCCATGATGAAACTTTGGAGGGTTTGATGAATTGACTTACCCGAAAGGTCTTTGTATAAGGGCTGGGTGAAGCTGTTGAACACCAAAGGCGAAACCTAACAATAAAACACACATTTTCTATTTGTACACAATTAGTGACTTACTATTCCTATGCAGAAAGTACAGTCATAATTTCTGATTCAAAAAGAACCACTCACTCCTATAATACATTAGACTGTATGTGGGCATGTTCTTTACATATGGAAAGTATATGTTTTATAAATGTTGTCATTCATCCTAAACATTTGGATAGACTAAGATTGGAAAACTTAAAAAAAGGCAAAGTTTAGTTAACAGGCATAAAAAAAAAGATTTAAAAAATTTAGACCAGAGAAAACTGCTCATGAGGAAGACCCAAGAACAATAAAGTTATATTCACAAATATTCCTATAATTCTAATTCATGAGTAGGGAAAAAAAGAATAGATGAGAAAAAGTCTTTGCAATTTGGAATATTCTGGAATGCTCTGGAAACAGCTTGTAGTATTAAAAAAAAGTTTTCACAAAAACTAATCTCCCCATCATTCTTTTAAGAATAGTGCATACACAAAGGATGTTTTAGAAAGACATAGTTTTGAATGTTCGTGGGCATTTCTCTGTGTATTCCCTTTCTGACAACTGAGCCCATGAGTGGAAATGTCAACCTCTTTTTAAACCTCCATAGGAAAGACTTAGTGAACAAGTACATAATTTAGTCAAGGAAGATACTTGCCCAGGGAATTGAATACATTCGCTCTACTGTCAACTGAGTTACTTTCAATGAATGTGAAGGTCAGTAGCAAATAATACAACAGGTCCTATTTTCACACAGACAAAAATACCACCTCCCGTTGTCAACTAACAGCTACAGGGATTTTAAGAAATTGTTTCTCATCTCTAAGTATCGGTTTTAAAAAATAAAATCTGTAACCTGCGAAGGTGTAAGTATTTGATTGCTAGTATTTTATATGTGAAAATATGTGTTTTAATCATGCCTGCTGTGGGTACAGTGTAACTGCCCTAGACCACATTAAGAAGGGAGGCTTACTGACTGGTGGTGACAATGACCACATAGTTTACCCTTTTAGCTACAAGTGGCTAGCAAAAACTGAAAGCAGACAAAAATATGCATCATCAGATAGGAAATGCATGAATTAACTTCTGGGTGTAAGCTATGTAGAACCTAAGATTTATTTTTGCACATAGATACATCTCAAGTACCCAGCAGCACTCAGAATGCTCATGTATCTTTAACGCCTTGGTGGAATAACCAGTCACCGTTCAAGTTTTACCAAACACCACTATGGATTTTCAGGATGCCAGTGTTTTCTGGGCTGGGGAACATAATGGGCTCATTGCCCCCCAGTGGTTGGGGAGGGGAGGGGAGGGGCATGGCTCACCTGGCTGCATTATTCTTGGTTTTGCTCCCAAGTATGCCAGATTCACGTTGGCCTTCCTACCATCAATGATGGGGTTGGGATCCTTGCAGGCCCTTTCAGCAGCAGCCCGGTCAGCCATGGTGACCTTAGCAACATACACAGACATACACACAAAGCCCTCAGTTAACCCTTAAAGGAAAAATACTAAAGTCACCAAGCTTGCTTCTTTCCTTTTCTTTCTTATTTGGAAGGAGATTGGGACATTATTAACCCTTTATCTCTGTTTAAAAAAATACAAGCAGAAAGAAGAAAGGAGGAAGGAAGAAGCCCTCTGCCCCCACCCAAAACCCTAAGGGCGCTAATGTGGGGCCTAATAGAGATTTGGAAGCCACAATTCTGAAATTGCTTGTAGATTTACCCCCTTCCCAGGGTCTCACCCTGGTCCCAGAGAACCTTGTGAGCTTTAAACAAAGTCTAGTCTCAAACAGCCAGTTGCTCCCAACAGGCAAACACTCCCCAGCGACAATAGCGATTGTCCTGTTCCAGGGCTCTCAGCTCTTTGAGAGCTGAATTCACCCCTTTAAATCTCCAGGAAGCTTAATGCGCTGTTCAGTTAGGCAAACAGCCAGAGGGTCAGCTTTTTTTTTTTTTTTTTTTTTTTTTTTTTTTTTTTGAGAACCTACCTTTGCAATTTAAGAGATAGGGTGGGACAAGAGGGGAGAGCAGCTCCAGACCTCATGGGTGTCTCTTCCCTATCCAGCCCCAGCCTTACCGCCACAACACACACACACACACACACACACACACACACACACACACACACACACTCACACACTTTCTTTTCTTTTTTTTTAAACAAAGCAACAGAGCACTTAACAACCAGCCACCAACGCCAGAAGCCACGGTGCGGGACTTCGTTCTCTCCCTCCCAGCTCCCTATATCCCAAATCTGGCTCTCATTCCCGAGCTCTCCGACCACCCAAAAGGGCATCGCCTGAGGGCCTCTCGGAACCTTGCAAGTCAGACACAGGCCCTCGCAGCTCAAGCCCCATCAAGCTTAAAGTTTCAGCTCTGCTCCTAGTGGAGTTGGCATCCCGCGAGCTCCCATATTGCCCCTCAACCCAACCTCTGACCCCCGAGGGCCTGGACCACTTGATCCCTTCTAGCCTGTCTTCGATCTCTCCTCCAGGACCTCTCTTAGTTGCCCCCTACCCACCCCGATTTCTCCTTTCAAATAACTTACAAATCCGTAGCCCCGGGACTTGCCAGTCTGCCGGTCCGTGATGACCACCGCCTCCTCGATGTCTCCGAAGACCTCGAAGTACTTGCGCAGGCTGGCGTCGGTGGTGTGGTAGGGCAGCCCTCCCACGAAGATCTTGGTGTACGTCGTGTCCTTCTGAGTCGTGTGCATCTTCGCACCGGCCCCACGGCTCGGGCTTCGGCTGCGGCTGCGGCTGCGCCTGGTCCTCGGGCTCCGAGTCTCCCGCAGCGCGCGGCGGCCGCCGGGGGCCGAGGGCGCGCGCGGGGGCGAGGGCGCGGCGTGGGCGCTGAGCGCGCGACTTCCCGAGTGGCCCGCGGCCCCCGACACTCGCCCGGATGCTCTGATCCTGTCCCCTCGTCCGGTCACTGTCCAGACCCTCCCGATCGTTCCGGTGACCAGCTCCGCGGCCGTGGACTGCGAGAGCCTTTTGCAAAATACCCCCTTGGAAATAAAAAAAATAAAATAAAATAAATGCAAAGAGGGATGGTGGTGGTGGTTTCCGAGTCCAGAAGAGGTAGATGTTTCTCAAAAAAAAAAAAAAAAAAAAAAAAAAATCGAACGACTGGAGTGGGAGGGGGAGAGGCTCAGCGGCCACCGCGTCCCGGGGCGCGGAGGTGGCAGCTGGGGGCGCGGTGCTGGGCCCGGCTAGGGCTGGGGACAGTCCCTCCTGAGGGGAAGCTGCCAGACTAGTGTGGACTGAGGACAGCTCTCCACCCCTTTGCTCCCTTCCCCAGCGGCCCGGGGGTCGACGCCCGGCTGGGGAGGGGGCGGGCCGGACGCCTGCGATTGGCCGGGACAGCACCTGGGGCGCCCGGCGCCGCCGCCCCCCAGCTGTTGGGAACAGCTGCTCTCTCCCCGCGCACTGCGCGGCGCGGCGCTGGGTCGCCTGGCTGGGGCTCAGGCGCTGTTGCCGGGGTAGAGTTGGAAACGGCTGGAGGCGGCCTGGCTCTGCTGTTGCCTGCTCCTACTGGTCAAAGTCGCAAAGACCCCTGGCGACTCCGGCAGGGACCCAGAGCGCTCAGTCAGTAAGCCTGCAAGGGGAGCTGCTGGATTCTCCAAAGCCGACCATGAGAGCTCTTCGCGCTAGGCCTCGATGGCATGGCAGGACTGATTTGAGAGTCCCTTGGGGCTTGGGGCGATCTGTAGAGAGAGCATTCCCTTCCCAGACACCTGGGACCAAAGAGATCTGCTTCCTCTAGGGGTCTGGACCGTGGGAAGAGCCTTCAAGTTTTCTTGGCCCCCAAAAGCTGGTGTTGTGGGGAACCAAGAGGTAGAGTCCGGTGTGGTGTGGTGTGGTGTGGTGTGGTGTGGTGTGTGTGTGTGTGTGTGTGTGTGTGTGTGTATGAGAGAGAGAGAGAGCATGTTAATAATAAAAAATTAGCAAGCATCCTAGCATTTGGGTATGCTTGAGAAATGGCTCACAGCCAGCAAAGAGTGCCTGTGTCAATCATGCTGTGGCTTCCGCTTTAGTGGACCAAGAATTAGGACTGTGCCTCCCACAATCATCAAATTTGTGCTTCCTGCTTAACTTAGTTATTCAGGAAGATGGGTACAATGTCTGTCTCATAAATCGATCCCACCCCAGCCTGCCCCCACCAAGCAAAGAGTCCGTCTCTATTTGAATTACAAAGCATTTAGTGAATTTACCTCATTTATTTATTTGAATATAATTGTAAAAAGTATGATTTCTTAAAAAAAAAAAAAACCTGTTACATAACCACTGACTTCTACCAGCAAATCTGGAAGCATTCGCTGAACACATTAAATGTAGTATATATTTATTAATTTAAGCCAGCTCCCTGTCACCTCTTTTACTAAGTGGGACTTTTAATTAAAGAAGCTTGGAAATCAGTCATATTTAAGGTTTGGATTAAAACTCTCTTTTTGTTGTTGCTGTTGTTTTCTTTTTCTTTTCTTTTTTTCTTTTTTTTTTGAGACAGGGTCTCATATCCTAGACTGGCTTTGAACTTCCGTGTATCTCAAGGATGACTTTGAACTTCTGCTTCTCCTGCCTCCAAGTCCTGAATGCTGGGATTACAGGCATAGGCACAGTCACTGCTCTGGGTTTATGTGATGCTCGGGGAGGAATGCAGGGCTTCCTGCCTGCCAGGCCAGCACTCTGCCAACTGAGCTACAAACCCAGGCCCGGATGGAAGCATTTAATGTGCACAGAACATTCCACTCTCTGCTTTCACTGAATGATTTCTGTTTAAGTGGGTTTTGCTTGGATTGTCCAGTGCAGTCCCAACACTGACTGCCCCTGAGCTTTTATTTCCTTTTAAACAGGTCAGTGTGTTAATCTGATAGAACCCCACAGGCCTACCTCAATTCCTTTCCAGGGCACCTTAGCTGTTTGCAAATGTGAACAAGAACCACTAGCAAATATTCTTGTAGAAAATCTTCATCTTGCTGATTCCCACAGGAGGCTGACTGAGATGACCAGGTCCTCTAACTTTGAACCCCCCAGTGAGAGATAAGGAAAACTAAGAACTCTACCTATTGTTAATCCACCTGAGAAAAATTAGTAGTTTATAATATTACAAGATTTTGTATGAAATGTTCCAGATGAAAACCTGAACGTGGAAATACAAACCATCTCCACAACGCTTCAGTAAAGCACTAGTTTAGAGGGAACTCTGTGCTCGTATGACAAAGGATAAAATTTAAAGTAAGAAAGCAGGCCCTGAAGCAGACTAAGTATGCTTTCTTAATACTTAACATTTGTTATGCGGTGTCACTTAAGAATCACAGCACTTCACTGAAGCTCAGGCAAAAGCTTCAGAGACAGGGGGTGCCTCTCAAGAAGTCTCACAGGCCTGTGACTTTGGCTGTTTTGTGTCTTCCTAAATGGGTAAGAAGCCAGCCCACCCTGCAGGGAACTGTGACACTCTCAGGAAGGAGGGTGTCTGGGAGTGCAGCCAGCAGTTTGGATGGTGGTCACCAGGCAAAGAGAGAGCTAAGAGGAAGTTCTTACCCTACAATGGGATAGCTATCCTAGAGCTCAGCCTTGGGGAGGAAATATACTGTTGACTTTGAGGGCTCAGGAGACAGCTTCATGTGTAAAATGTTTGCTATGCAAGTGCTAGGACCTGAGTTCAGACCCAGTATCACCTTGGAAAGCTAAATGTGCTGGCACATTTTGGTCAACTTCTGGCCTCTGCATACACACACACACACACACACACACACACACACAGGGGGGGGGGGAGAAAAAGGAGGGGAAGGACAGGCAGGCTTGTATGCCATTATTTCAAAAACAAAAGGAAAAACAAAATACACAGGTTAATAGCACTCCCTTCAAGCCCAGGGGTCTGCAACAATGTGCCTGTAGAAACTATTTAACACTTTTGTCTGAAATTGTTTCATTTGGAACAAGATGATACCTGGTCATTGGCACATTTTGAAATTCCAGAAATAACCAAGGCATCCCCATCAATTTGCATGAGTTACTGAGAATGAGGGTGAAGAGAAATGGTGAGTCTCCTAAATCTGCATCAATAGAAGCCACCATCCAGCATGCCCATTGCCCACCATGGGTTTGGTGTCACAGACACACAAAGTAAGCACAGTTGCAAAGGCCAGATCCACTCTCGTGGATTTATGAACCAGCGCCATCAAACCATGTATGCTCCTAAGCCATCAGATGAATCTGAATCCAAGCCTCAAGCTTACTAAACACCAACTATTTCTGTCCAGTGACCGATCACAAATTCAGGCTTGAACTAACAATACATGAAGACTGTTTTTTTTTTTTTTTTTTTTTTTTTTTTTTTCCTAGCTGCCTCTGGCAGAGGAGACACAGATACCCACATGCTTTGTGCAACATGATGTGTGCTTCTTTGGAAAGAAAGAGTGGTAAAATACTGTAAAAGTTATAAAAATAAGTTTCAAGCTTGCCATATCCAAATTAGTGCACATGGATGGACTGAATCCTTGGTTACCACTATCCTTGGCAGGATTGATATAATTGTATTACTTACGGTAAATTACCATCCACATTGTTCAAAATCTTTACCTGTTAAAGGCCAGAAGCAAACTCAAAGGTTGGACTTCATTTTATCTATTTTTTTCTTCCCCCTCTACTTCTCCCTCTCTAATCAGGGATAATAAGTCCAGGCTTACACACATCTGGACAGAGTTTTGAAGGGGAAAATGACATTTTGTGAAGGTTGAAAACCATAGACAAAAATCTACCCTGGTGTAGGGACAATCCTTTGCTGTCATTGCAGGTCATCAAACCCATGCTGAAGAGAACCTTATGTTACTAAAGAAATGTCTACCAAAAGCCAGGTTCTGGGGGATCACACAGTCAGTGAAGGGCTTACTTTGTAAGCAGAAGGATCCAAGTTCTATCTCCAGAGCCCATGTTAAAAAAAAAAAAAAAAAAAGCTAGTTGTGGTACAGTGAGTTTGCAATCCATCCCAGCATTTGAGAAGTAGAGACCACCAGGAAGCCAGCCTGGACTGGTGTGTGAATACCAGGCCAGAGAGAGAAAACAACAGAAAAAAAAAAACAAACAAACAAACAACAAAAACCAAGGTGAGCTTAAGGCCAGAGGTCAACTCCATAAGCACATGCTCATCCACCCTGGAACACACACAGGCACACACACAAGAAACATTGACTGAAAATACCATATTAAAGACATATAACCCATGTCCCATGCTTGGTATGAGCCAATATAACCTAGAGAGGACTGACTGCTTTCAGGATGTTTAGGCTAGGTACTTAACATTTTTTGGAAAATAAAGTATGGTCTCAGGAAAGCCTTTGTTTAGCTTGCTTGGGAATATTCTGTCCTGTTTCGAGTCCCCGTGAACATTCTGATACAGGCTCACAGGCTTTCCGACCCTTGAAACAACCCTAAGCAGCTACACCTGTTTTTTCTGGGCTGGCTGGTGATCCTTAGTCTCAGGAGCACTCACATATAATGGGCCCCACTGGTGTTTTTGTGCACAGAACTGGCAATTGGAGGCCTAGTTCATGCAGCTCAGCCTTATCTTCGAGAAATCTTTTCATGTTGCATTTCACCTCAGTGAGGCTGATAAATGGCACGAAGTGGGCAGGTATAACTATTGAAGCCTCAGCACTGATTTTATGTCACACACAGAAAACACCGGAAAGCATGCTGTAGTTATTTAAAACGATCGCACAAGAGTTAAAATGAAAGCGAGGGGTACAAGAAAAAGTTCATTGTTAATTTCACCTTGCAAACAATCTCCCTCTGCTGTGACTGTGAGCACACTTGAATTTTTGTTTAAATTTGGAAGGCCAGGGAGAGAATCCAAGCATTTAACCCACCATGTGGCTTGCCTTTTCAACTCAGGGTGCACTTGGGTTTCAAGCTGGTCGGTACACAGAGAGCCTCTAGGCTGCCGAGTTATTTTTAGGGCACTGATGGTACTCTCCAAATGTATTGGATGACCGCTCTTGATGACAGTGTTATCCTGGTGATGTTACTGTGGGCTA